TGACACCCCCAGTGCCTCAGGCTCTCTTTTTAAATGAGTTTGTGTCTCAAAGTAAAAATAACATAATTACATTTATAGAAAATTTAAGAGACAGAAAAGTCATCCTTACTTTTTATGTCACTGCTGTGATTTCTAGCGGCTGTTAAGGCCTTCAAGAAAGTATGTGCGAAAATGTACTTGTATTTGTACTTGGGGACTTTTCTGATTTTTTTTCTTCTATGCCAACTCCTGGCACAGTGAGCATCTTTATAGGGTCAGCTTTTTACATGTTTTTGTCATGTTTCCTTAAAATGATTATTAGCTGGCCAGGTATGGTGGTGCATGCTTGTAATCCCAGCACTTGGGAGGCTGAGGCAGGAGGATCGCTGTGAGCTGAGACCAGCCTGGACTACATAGTGAGTTCCAGGTCAGTCACAACTACATAGTGAGACCCTGTCTCAAACAAGAACAACAACAACAAAAAAACCCGAAAACAAGCAAACAAAAAAGATTATTGGCTGGGTGTGGTGGCACATGCCTGTAATCCTAGCCTGAGCTACATAGCAAGACCCTGTCTCAAAAAAAAAAAAAAAAAAAAAAAAAAAAGATGATTCTTAGGTTCTGGGTCAGAGAGCTGCAAGGTCATTTCCAAGCTCATTTTGGGCTCTTTGGGGGTCTGGATAAGGTAACTGTTCTTGCTTGATGATATTCAGCCTCATCTCCAAAGCAAACTGAGGTTTCAAGAATTGGTGAGTCCATGTCCCGCAGAGAGAAGGACCTAAGCTTTTTAGTCCATGAGGTATTTGTTTAATATGCTTTTGTTTTGTTTTGTTGAGACCCTGTCTCAGGTTGCCCTTGAACTTACCATGTAGCCCAAGCTGGTCTTGAACTCCCGGCAATTCTCCTGCCTCAGCCTCCTAAGTACTGGGATTATAGGCATGTATCACCATACTAAGTTTAATGTGCTTATTTGGACACTGAAGTCGACCTCCCAGGAGGAGCATGCCAGAGAAGGGAAAAGTCACCACGACCAGGCCTCGTGGGACCTAGGAAATGCTTAGAAGATTTATAGAATGATTAAAGCAAGCATGTTTCATGGCCCTGTGAACAGCACTGCAGGACCAGCTTGCCTTTCTTCTCAGCTGTCCAGAAATGCTCCCCTGCTCCATGGCCCTGGCTGCCTTCCTCCCTTTCTCTGGGAACCCCACCTTCCTCAGAGTCCCCTGGTGTCTTCCCTCCCCCACCACTGGTCTGTGGTCACCAGCATGTTCATGGGGTATGTCTGCTTGTATCAGCTTCCAGAGTGTGGACTCTCAAATACTTGGACTGGAGTGTGTCCTGACTCACAGTCTATTTGCTGAATGAAAAGAAATAAATTTGCTAGGTATGGGGGCACACACCTGTCATCCCACCACTTGGGAGGCTGAGGGCAGATGGCAGAACCACTGAGCTAAATCCCTGGCCTTGGAAGGCCGAGGAGTGAAGATCACAGAGGGTTCAAGCCCAGCCTGGGCTATATAGCAAGACCCTGTCTCAAAAATAAAATAAAACAAAAATAGAAAGAAGTGAATTGAGAAGCTTTTCTCTCATTATAAGTTCAGTAAAGGGCATGCAGCAGTCTGCATGGCCAAGGGGTTTAAGGTTACTTCTTTGTAGGTGAAACCTAGCCCTCACCATCCTTGTAATGTACAGCTCCTTACCCCACTTACGAGCCAGGTGATACTCAGTAAGTAGGACAGAGGTTGGTGCTGCCTGCTTCTTGCGTGTGAGCTGCTGGTCCTCTCTAGGGCCTGAGAAGTAGCCCTTGCTCGAGAGATCCTGTCTGTGTGTCTTTGTCAAGGACATCCCCGAGAACAATTCTGTGAAGTCCCTGGCCAGTGCCCTCCTTGAGTGGTGTCCATTCCTAGCACCCCATGATGGTCAGGCCCTTCCCATTTGCTAGGCACTGGACTAGGCTTGCTTCCTCTGCCACCATCTTTCATCCCTGGGGACAGACAGAATGGCTGATCTGCATTGCCAAGCCACCGAACACACAGGCTCCGGGGTGGGTCAGAACGAGTCCACTGCAGACGTATGCGAGAGAAGTGAAGTCACCGGAGAGTGACTTCCATAGGGTGAAGGCTCGCATCTCTCAGAGCCAGGATGGGAAAGGCAGTGGAACCTTGGGTTCTGATGGCTTGGCCCAGTGACCAGGTCAGTTGACTGGAGTTTCAGTCATGTTGTTGAGATGTGGTGAGACCAGCAAGTGTCATCTCCGCCTGTCTCTGTGCCTCACACCCTCCCCCCACCTACCTCTGTCAGGAGAGTCTAGTTTCCTCAGATGGGATATCCTCACATTTCATAGAGTGGGTGGGCTCCTCTTCTCAGTCTGGGTGCCTCTGAGCCCTTGGCCGCTGGACTACAGACCCCTAGCGTGAACCAGTGCCGCCTAGGGAACAGAGAAGCCCTGCAGCCTGTAGTATTTGTCCCCAGGGGCCAGTGGATGGCCTAGACCTGATATCTGGCTGCAGAGATCCCCAGCATGAGTGGGACTGGACATATTTGGGGTGGGCCTGGTGGGGCCAAGGGACAAGCCTTTAAGACTTTACCAAAGAAAATGAGGGGGCATCCATGTGCACAGGGCAGTCACCCCCTCATCTTCACCCCAACCTCAAAATCCCCTTCCTGGCTTCTGTGAAAGAAATGATGTCTCACCAGCAACCTGCAAGTGTGCACCTTGGCCAGTTATCTGGGTGCCAGTGCCTGAATCTGCCACCAGAGCTGCCCCTGGGTTCCTTGTCCTGCAGTGACTCAGACTCCATTCACCAGTCCCCTGGCAGGTGGGTCTGGTTTCTACAATTGCAGCTCACTTTCTCCACCTGGCAAGATGACACCAAGTCCAAGAGGGGACAGCTACTGAGCTCCAAGTCTTCCCTGCAGGAGGCCAGGTGATTCTTGGAGGAAACTGCCATTGGTCAGCTGTGAACTGACTTGGGACCAGTTCTCCAGCTTCACGTGGTCCCCTGAATCCCACCCTGTCCCTTTATCCCAATTGCAGGAGCTGCCAGGAGGGAGTGGTCCTCAGCAGACAGGCTGGGGGGCTGGGGTGAGGGCTGCAGAGGAAGCTCCCTGTCCAGAGACTTGGAATGAGTTTAGCTGTGTGGTCAAGACCCCTGTTCTGTAAATAATCCTGCTGGTATTTTGATTGGAATTGCATTATATCTGTGTATCATTTTTGGTATTATGGCCATTTTGACAACATTGGTTTTGCCTATTCAGTAATGGGACGTCTTTGCATTTTCTGATGTCCTCTTCCACCTCTTTTTTTCAGAGTTCTACAGTTTCCATCGTAGAGGTCTTTCAGAAACTTCCTTGATTAAGTTAATTCCTAGGTAAAGTAAGTCCCTGCCTTACAAACGAGTTCCATTCCAGGAGAACATTCATAAGTCAGATTCGTTTACAATCTGACAGTGAATCTTATATAGTACACCTGTGAAGGTTCGCAGTGTGAATGTTTATAAGTCGGGGACTTATTGTACTGTATTTAAGTTTCTTGAAGTGATAGTGAATGTTATTGTTTTCCACATTTCTTACTTGGTGGGTTCATTGTTGGTGTACAGGAACCCTGGTGATTTCTGTGTTGATTTTGTATTATGCTACTTTGCTGAATTTGGTAATTAGTTCAAGGAGTCTATGGTGGAGTTTCATATTTTTTAGGGGGTACTGGGGATCAAACTGGGGACCTTGTACTTGCAAAGCAAGTGGCAGAACCACTGAGCTAAACCCCTGGCCCTGTGGTGGAGTTTTGGGGGGGTCTTCTGTGTAAAAGATCACACCATCTGTGAAGAAGGGTAGTTTGACTTCTTCCTTCCTTACACGTGTTCCTTCTCATTCTTTCTCATGGCTCTGGCTAAGCTCCAAGTACTGTACTGAGCAGGAGCAGTGACAGTGGACACCTTGCCCTCCTGTCCTTGCAGCACTGACATTGTGTTAATAAATTTTAAGTTGCCCAGGCTAAGCTGGAATTTGTGATTCTCCTTCCTTGGTCTTCTAGAATGCTGGGATTACAGGTGTGTGTCACCATGCCCTGCTGAATAGTGAGGGACTTGGAGTGAGGGAAAGACTGGTGGCGGCCTGGCCTCCTTCATAGCTACTCCTCCCAGAGACCTGATGGGATGGGAGAAGCAGGCTGAAGACAGACTGTAGAAGAGGTTAGAGTAGTCCTAGGCAGGGACTGTGGAGAGAGAGGATTGAAAATTTGGGACAAGAGCTGGGCCTGTATGGTGCACACTTGTAATCCCAGAAGTCTGGGAGGCTGAGGCAGGAGAACCCTAAATTCAAGCCCAGCCTAGGTAAGTTAGTGAGACCCTGTCTCAAAATTAAAAATAGGGCTGGGGATGTAGCTCAATGCAGAAGATCTAGTTTCCAGCCCCAGTACTGCCAGAAAGAACCGAAGGGTGGGGAGGGAGAGCAGGAAGGAAGGAAGGTAGGAAGTAAGGAAAGAAGAAGGAAAGGCAACCAAGCAAACTGAGGACATTTTTGCATTTTTTAAAAAAAGAATCCTCAAAAAACCCCAAAACAAAACATTTCTCTGGCTTTTCCTGTGAGCCCTTCATCTCTGCTCCATCGAGTGTGCCATCACACTGGCAGCCAGCAGCATGTTTTGTTCCAAGTCCTTAAACTGTTCTTTAAAAAATCAGAAAGAGAGCCCGGAACGTAGCTCAGCAGTGCGGCACCCGCCTGGCAAGTGTGATTCCCTGAGTTTGATTCCCGTACCAAAAAAAAAAAAAGAGGAAAAATGCTTTCTATAGCATAATAAATAAAGTGGTACAGAGGTTATAAAGTGACAGGTAGTTTCTATCTTTGCCACCCCATACACCCCACTCGCCTAAAACCTCTGCTCCTTGGGAATGAAACTATGAGCCCCTTGACTCTGGGGTGCTGGCAGAACCACTCCGTGACAGCTTCCAGACCTCTGGCCCACTGTACAAGGGTGACGAGGTTGCAGCTGTCTGTGTCCCACACCTCTTCCACCTTCGCAGGACCCCTCTGTGACCCAGCTGACCAACCCTCCGCAGAGTGGCCTAGCCGAGTTCAACCCCTTCTCCGAGGTCAGTGAGCTGTGCGCCCCCGGGCCTGGGCCCTCTGGGTGATGTCCAGCGGTCCTTAGAAGGATACCAACTACGGCTGGGTGGTGGATGGCACATCACAGAGGCTCTCTTGAATCGTCCCTTGGGGTCTGGGACCTGGTCCCCTCCCTGAGGAGGGCAGGCTGTGCTGGAGTACCAGGGACCCCATGGGGCGGGCCAGGGGACTGGGTTAGTAGTCGCATTGCCCGGAGCCCAGGGCCTGTTTTGGGAAGCTGCGGAGGAGGCCAGTGCAGGTCCCAGGGAGGAGCTCCTCACACCTTCCTGTGATGATTTGTTCCACGCAGACAAATGCAGCAACAACAGTGCCCGCCACTCAGCTGACTGGGCCCTCACAGCCAGCAGTTCTCCAGCCCTCCGTGGAGCCCACGCAGCCAAGCCCCCAGGTACTGGTACTCGGAGCCCTGGGGGCCTCTGTCCATTGCAGGAGTCATGGTCCCCAGCTGAGCCCTGAGGCACGGTGGGCAGAAGGCCATCCCTCTGCTCTCTTCCTCGCTCTCTTTTTCATTTCTGTGGAGCTGGGTGCCTGCATTTGGATGGAGTGCTCTGCTAACCCATAGATGGCTTTATCTGCAGCTCCTACCCCACTGCCACCACCAGAATAGCTCCACTCACTAGGCTGGAGACCCTGGTGTCTTCAGAGAGTGTCTGGACTGTTGTGCCCCTCCAGGGGCCTTTGGCTTATTCTTTCTTACTTGGGGCTCAGAATCTGTGTGAATGTCTCTGTTTCTGTTTCTGTCTCTGTCTCTGCCTTTGTTTTTGCAGTGCTGGGGATTGAGCCTCGGCCCTTGCACATGCTCTACTGCTGGGCCATGCTCCAGGCTCTCCATCTCTTTAGACTCATTTATTCCTGCCTGCCTTCCTGTTTTCCTTTGTCCCTTCCCAAAATACCAACTCTTGTCTGTGGCCCCGCATGAGCCCCCAGCAGAGTCGTGTGTTGCAGCTCCCGCTTAGATAGGCCAGCAAGTTCCTGCCAGCCCAGCTCCTGGCAGCGGGCACACGCACAGAGAGGCAGATGCTGCTAGGAGGAGATAGTGTTCTCAGAGACAGCTGCTTGCGAACGCTCCCCCAGGTAGGCCCAGTGTAGAAGAGCGGGGCCCTGGTACCATGGAGGACAGGCGAGCCTTCCAGGCAGGGTGACTGTGAGGAGCTGGGGGTGGTCTGCTCCTCAGAAGGCCAAGACCCTCTCTATGTACTACTGTGCAGTCACTTCCTGCTTCTGCCACAGTTCGCCTCCAAAAGCAGCCTTAGCTCTTTGGAGAGCTCCTTTGGGGGCCGGGTGTCACACATGTGCCTACTTTGTCATCCTAGGATTTGACCAGATGCTGTTTATTCCCAGAAGACTAGGAACCTGGCCCAAATGGCAGTGGCAGCTGGAGCAGGGCATTGGGCCCAGTTCTACTCAGCATAACATAAGAGTCCCTGAGCTGCTTCACTCAGAGGCCCTCCCTGCCTGTAGAGGAGAGAAAGTGTGGATTCTGTACGAAACCTAGGAAGAGCAGGATCACACCTTGGATGGTGCTTGGGGGTGGCCAGGTGTGGTTCAGGAAGCCTAGGAGCAGAGTAGGGGCAGTGGATGCTGAAATACAGGTACCAGGGCCCTGCCCTCTGCAGCTGTTCCTGTCCCCACTTTACACACTGTCCCTGCCTTACACACACCTCCTGGCTTTTCCCAGGGGGATCAGCTGGGGGTTCTGACCCTGGCTTAGTGTGCTGTGAGGTCTTTCTCCTTGGCTATAACTGCAAAAGTCACTAACTCATCCTGGACACATGGAGCATGCAGGCTGGTTCTCCGGTCTCAGCTTAGGCAGGGGGCAGAGGACAGCCCTGGTGATGGTCAAGGGTCAGTGGTGTCATGGGGAGCAGAGGAGACAGGGCCCCTTATCCCCTCTGGAGTGGCCCCTGGTGCCCAAGACTCTGTGCAGCCTCCCTGCTGGCTCCCCCCACAACTTGGCTGCCTGCAAGATTGACTGATACCATCCTTCTGCTCTGTGTCTGGCTATCCCCCGCTTGTCCCGCCAGGCTGTGGCAGCTGCAGCCCAAGCAGGCCTGCTCCGGCAGCAGGAGGAACTGGACAGGAAAGCTGCAGAGCTGGAGCGCAAGGAGCGGGAGTTACAGAGCACAGCAGCCAGCTTGCATGGTAAGGGTGGCTTCAGGGCCCTGCCAACCTTGGCCCAGTGGTACGTCCCTCACAGGCACAGAGGGCCTCAGTGCTGGCCCTGGGCTGCTTCCTCCCACTCTGGCTATAGTGCTTGGTAGAGCTCCGGATCCTCTAGAAGGCGCTGGGCCTGAGGAGACTTGCAGTGTGACCCTGATGGTGGTACAGTAGAACACTTCTTCTCTCTTCCTATCGCTGAAGTTCTTTGATTCTTTGATAAGGTGAGGGTTCTAGTCCCCACAGTTTCTTGCTCATGGTGACAGTCCTGGTTGTCCTGCCTATCAACTGGTTGCTTATAAAAATAATCCCTTGGGCCGTTTGGCTTTGTATTTCCAGGTGCTTCTGGGCTCCATCATCTTGGAGTATCTGTGGTGTCTGTGGGTGTCTCTTTGAGTCCTATTTACCTCTTCCATTCAACGCCATGTCCCATGGCTACCTCAGCTTCACTTGCTAGAACTGCTAGTTTGCCCATAAACTGAGCCATTCTGCTGCTGCTTTTTTTTTTTTTTTTTTGCTACAGAGTCTTGCTATACTGTCCAGTCTGGCCTTGAAATCACTATGTAAGGCCGGGAACATAGCTCAGTGGTGCCATGTCTGACTGGCAAGCACAAGGTTCCGAGTTTGATTCCCAGTACCTTAAAAAAAAAAAGGAAAGAAAATCAGTATGTAGCCCAGGCTGACCTCAAACTCACAGCGATCCTCCTGCCTTGGACTCCCTTACGCTGGGATGGCAGATGTGCACCGTGATCCCTGGTTTTGATGCTGCTCCTGAGGCTGGCTCCTTGCCCCATTGTCTGTCTCTCTCTCTCTCTCTCTCTCTTTTTTTTTTTTGTTGAGTTTATTGGTACATCTGAGGTATACAGTACAGTTACATTCATTACTAGGATGTTGTACCTTTACATAACAGGTCTTGGTTCTCATTTTTTCCCCTTGTCCCTGCCCTCCCTTCACCCCCTCCTCCCCTCCATTGTCTCTTTATTCTACCCACACAGTGAGAGAGAACAACTGGCCACCCCTGCCCACATGGTGCCCGGTCAAGCCTTGCTTCTATCAGGATTTCTCCACTGAGATCCCTGCCGACTACCAGCGCATCTGCAAGATGCTCTACTATCTTTGGATGTGTGAGTCTTGTGCCTGCCCTCCCTGGGGTTTCAGGGGGTACAGCGGGGCATCACAAGGCTCTGTCTTTGGTTAGGGTGCTCCTCCCTGTGGTGAGACTTTTGTAGATCCCAGCTATCCCTGTGCTTGGGCTGGCATGGGGTGGCCACCCCAGTCCCTGCAGAGCCCCCCACATTGAGCACCTGCCTTAGGGGAGGCTCCCTGCCCACAGGCACCTGGGATCTAGGAGTGAGGAGGAAGGCTGTTCCTGTCATTGCGCCATTGCGGGCCATTGGGGCCAGGGAAGAACTGTTCATTCCCTGAGGGTAGAACCTGGGCCTGCACCTCACCATGCCACCCTCAGAGACCTGCATGTCCTGTCACCCCTTGGAATGTAGTTTGGTCCCTGGTTTTGAGGACCTAGACACCCAGAATTTGGGAGCAGGCTCATCCCGCCCCTCAGAGTGGTCTGTCCCATGGCAGAGCCCTGGGCCACCTGGGCTCATGCAGCTTTGTCTCCTCCCCTTCCCCTCCCAGTGCACTCAGTGACTCTGTTTCTGAACCTGCTCGCATGCCTGGCCTGGTTCACGGGTGACACTACAAAGGGAGTGGACTTTGGGCTCTCAATCCTGTGGTTTGTGATCTTCACGCCCTGTGCCTTCCTCTGCTGGTACCGACCCATCTATAAGGCCTTCCGGTGAGCAGGGCTGGGGAGAATTGGGCTGCCTGCAGAGGCTTCAAGTATGCTGCAGAGGGTCGGATGGGGGCTCCCTACGCCCCAGGGACCTTGGGCACCTGCTGAGTGCCAGAGCCTTGGCTCCTGGCTGTGTACCTCCCAGATCCTGGGTTTGGAATTGAGCCTTCCAATTGATGCTTTTGGATTATATATGCACACCCATGTTTATAACAGCATCATTTATAATAGGTAAATCTTGGAAAAAGCTCAAATGCCCATCAATCGATGAGTGAATAAAGCAGATATGCCTTTTTTATATACAGTGGAGTACTACTCTGCTGTAAAGAAGGATGAGCTTCAGACATTGTTAGCTAAGTGGATAGACCTTGAGGCCATACTCTTTAAGTGAAGTAAATTGGACACACATGTTTAAATACAGCATTGTGTCTCTGGCGTGAAAACCAGAAGTGAAAAATAAGGGCTAAAATGTTTAATAGATATTGGGAAATGGAAAATGGAAAGAAAATGTTCAAATGGGAAAGAGAACAAGGAAAGAGGGAGGGAGAAAGGAAGGAGGAACAAGAAAAAAATAGAAGGAAAAAATGGAAAAAAGCTTTTATACATAGGGGAGGGAGAATGAGATAAAATTTAATAACAATAAAAAAAAAAACAGTTGATGCTGTTGGTGCTGGAAGCCCCGACGGTCCTTGGAAGAGGGCGTGGGTCCTGGCTGGACCCTTCCACAGACCCTCAGCAGCACTGAGCCCTCACTGTTGTCTGGTCCTCAGGACAGAGATGGCGGTGGTCAGCCCTTACAGGTTGCTATCTGGTAACCCCACGCCAGTTTTATTTATTTATTTTGGGTTGTACTGTGGATTGAACCCAGAGCCTTCATATTGAACTGCATCTCCAACCTGCCTTTTTTTTTTTGAGCCAAGGTCTCATTATGTCATTCAGACTGCCTTTGAACTCACTCTATAGCTCAGGCTGGCTTCAAACTTGCAGCAATTCTCCTGTCCCTGCCTCCCGAGTGCTGGGATTACCATAGCGCCACCATGCCCAGCCTCTTCTTATTTTAAATAATTTTAAAATTTTGAGACAAGCTCTCCCTCAGTCATTGAGTTGCCCAGATTGGGCCCAAACTCCACCCGCCTCAGCCTCCCAGAGTGCTGGGATTATAGGTATGCGCCACTAAGCCCAGCTCCTACAGTTTTATTATTAGAGATTTATGCCTTTGGCTGAGTTTTTTTTTTTTTTTTTTTTTTTAACCTGAAAACACAGCATGAGAATTAGTGTTAAGCTCTCCCTAATGTCCTTTAGGACTGGTGTGGTGGTGCATGGCCTTGAACTTACTATGTAGCCCAGGCTGGCCTCAAACTTGAGGCAATCCTCCTGTTTCTGTCTCCTCAATGCTTGGATTACAGATGTGCACCACCTCACCTGGCCCTGAGAGAACAGTTTTATCAGCTCTTTGTGAAAGAGGTCAAGTCTGCAGCCCTTAAATTGGGTGGCAGTGAAAGCAACCCTTTGATTAAGGTGGTGGGTGTTCCTGTGTCAGTATTGTGTGTCTGTGTCCTTGATGTTGTGGCTGTCCCTGGTCCCTGTGTACTTGTCCCTCCTGCATCCTGGCTCCTAGGAAGGAGAGAGACCACACTCAGGATTGACATGGCCAAGCCCTCTCGTGACTTATTTCTTCCTCTCTCCACAGGTCTGACAACTCTTTCAGCTTCTTCGTGTTCTTCTTTGTATTTTTCTGTCAAATAGGGGTCTACTTCATCCAGCTGATTGGCTTGCCAAACCTGGGGACCAGGTGAGACCTGTGGTGTCACAGGGAATTGTTGCTTTTGCATAAACATTTTTTTGGTTTTTTTGGTACCTGGGATTGAATTTGGGACCTTGAGCTTGTGAGGCAGGCGGTGGCACCACTGAGCTAAATCCCCGGCTCTGGGAATTGTTGCTTTTGGAGGCTTCAGCCCTCTATGCTGCACTTTTGCCCTGGAGGGGTGCGTGAGCCCAGCTGGATCTGCCTTGGGCCACTTTCCATAGTGAAGTGAGATCTCACTGTGTTGCCCAAGCTGGTCTCAAACTCACGGGCTCAAGTGATCCTGTCCTGCCTCAGCCTCCCAAGTAGCTGGAACAGCAAGTGTCGAGCTACCATGCCCAGCTCCTTTGTAGTTCTTTGTAGTTCGCCACTTCTGTGATCCTTTGCCCTCCACTCACCAGGGTATGAGGATGAGCCTGGCTCACATCTTCAGGACTTCATCCTGCACTGGTCTATGTTAGGGTTAGGGTTAGGTTTAGGCCTGCAGCATTCTTGCAAGAGGCTGTCCCAGCCTCCTGGGGAATGGTTTCTTACTGTCTTCCTTGTGCACTCGGCTGGCTCGAATTTCCTGGCTGCCTCAGCCTGCTGCCCAGAATTAGTCTCTGAAAGAAAAGCTGCTGACTGATGTTTTCCTTTCCACCAGTGCTCAGGGAGTAGCTCAGGCTGGACCCTGGCTGAGAGCCTGAGCCTGGAGGGATGACACTATTTTGGTCCCCTCCTTTCTGGAACCATCTTGTCCAGAGTGTGAGGAGAGGGCCAATTCCTGCCTCCAAGCCATGCATGCTGCCCTCCCACCACCTGCCACCCCCAGGGCCTGTTCAACTCCATAGCTGTTTCTCCTCTCACCCCCACAGAGGTTCTGCTAGGAAGGCTGTGACAAATGCTCTCTTCTCACCCAACTGGGAGTCACCTGGGCCCTGGCCCTCAGTGCCCTGCCTTGGTTCACCCAGATCAGCTTCAAGGCTCAGCCCCCTGCACCCACTCATGTTGTCTTTTTTAGTAGGGAGAATAACTTGTTTTTGTTTTTTGAGACAAGGTCTCTCTGTGTAGTTCAGGCTGGCCTCGAACTCACAGCAATCCTGCCTCAGCCTCCCAAGTTCAGGGATTACAGCCTGCTACCACTGGGTTCTTTCCTCCATTGTGCTATCCTAAGCATGGCTGCTGTGAACATTTGTATCCTAGTTTCTGTTGGAAGATGATCGTGCATGTGTGTGTGTGTGAGTGAGTGATACTGGGGATCAAACCCAAGGGGGTCACCCACTCTACCACTGAGCTACAGCCCCGCCCTCAGGTTTCTGTGTACCTCTTTTCACTTCCTTTGGGACCTTCCCAGGAGTGGCATCGCTGTGTTTCATGGGAATTCTGAGTGGAACTTGCTGAGCAGCATCCATGCTTATGCCTTTGCTTCTTTTTGACAAAGGTTTCATTTACACATTATTCTTATTATTCATTATTATTATGCTTCATTTTTTTTTTTTTGTACCAGGGATCGAACTCAGGTCCTTGTGCTTGCAAAGCAAGTGGCAGAACCACTGAGCTAAATCCTGCCTTTTTTTTTTTTTTTTTTTGGAGACAGGGTCTTATTCTGTAGTTCAGGCTATCCTTGAGCTCACTATGTAGCCCAGGCTGGTCTCAAACTCATGGCGATCCTCCTGCCTCAGCCTTCTGAGTGCTGGAACTACAGGTGTGTGCCACCATACCTGGCTATCTAAACTTCTTCTGAGTGGCTGACCCATTTTGCACTCCCACTGAGTGGGTACATGAGGGTTCATTTCTTCATGTGCTTGAGGGTTTTGAAAGGTTATTATTAGAAAGATTATTATCATGGGTGTGTTGGCACATGCCTGTAATCCCAGCACTCAGGAGGCTGAGGCAGGAAGCTTGCTGCCAGTTTGAGGCCAGCCTGGACTATACAGTGAGACCCTGTCTCTAAATACATAAGTTAAGGGCTGGGGATTTAGCTCAGTGGTGCCGCCACCTGCCTCAAAAGTACAAGGTCCTAAGTTTGATCCCCAGTACCAAAAAAAAAAAAAAACCCAAAACAACCAAACAATAGCAAATAAATACATAAATAAATAAAAATGATTATCCTCACCCTAGAGATGCACAGTATTTTATTATAGGTTTGATTTGCATTTCCTGAATGACTGATGATGTTGAGCTCCCTTTATGTGCTTGTTGGCCATTTATGTTTTCTTTGGAGAAGTGTCTGTTCCACACTGGTCATGGTGGCGGATGCTTGTAATCGTTTGGAAATCTGAGACAGAAGAATTGACACCAGTTCTAGGCCAGCCTGGCATATATAGTGAGTTCAAGGCCAGTCTGAGTTTCATAGTTAGGCCTTGTCTCAAAACAAAACAAATCTGTCAGTTCCAGGCCTTTTGCTAATTTATTGAGTTGTCTTATTTTTGGGGGGGTACCGGGGATTGAACTCAGGTCCTTGCACTTGCAATGCAGGCAGCAGAACCACTGAGCTAAACCCCCGGCCCCTTGAGTTGTCTTTTTAATGTTGAATATGTGAGGGTTTTTTCTCTTTTTGTACCTGTTCTTTTGTTTTGTTTTGTTTTGTTTTTTTCGTACCAGGGATTGAACTCAGGTCCTTGAGCTTGCAAGGGGGGCCACCAAACTGCTGAGCTAAATCCCCAGCTTGTACCTGTTCTTTACATATTTTAGATATTAGATTCCAATCATTATGTCATAAAGCCCCCTACTCCACCTTTTCAATTTTTTTCCACTACTGGGATTTAATCCAGCACCTTTGCACCGAGCCAGGTCCCCATCCCTTTATTTACTTATTTAGTTATTTTTGTTCATTTATATTTGTTTTTTTTGTTTGTTTGTTTTAAAGGGTTTATTTGGCTTACAGTTTGTAGCGGTTTCAGTCAATATTTGGCTAGCTCCATCCAAGGAAGGGTGGCGTGGCAGACAGGCCTTCCAGTGGAGAAACAGTTCATGGTGCCCAAGTGGTAGCAAAAGCAACAAGGGACTTTAAGAGCATTTTTTCTGCCCCTTTTATTTTATTTAGACTACTTTGGGTGGGTCCTAGTGCCCTCAGGCTTAGCCCCACCTTGAATCAATATCTAGATTCAGCCACTTCCAAAATAGCCTTACCTCATTTGCATGAGGCTTTGGGGGAACATCTACACACAAGCCATAACATTCCGACCCGGCCCCTCAAACATTCATGTACATTCCTTTACTCAAAAGGCATTTAGTCCATCTCTAAGAGTTGCCTAAGTGCTAACAGTTTCATCATTGCTGAAAAGTCCAAGTTCAATGACTGAGATTTAAGGCAAACTGGCAAACTCTTAGCTGCAAGCCTCTGTACAAATGAAAGTCAAACATTTCCAACATTAAATGGCACAAGATAGGCATTATCATTCCAAAGTTACAGACAGGAAGATACAAAGAAATGGGAATAATGCAAGTCCAAAACCCAGCAGGGCAAACATTAAACAGCACAGTTCCACTTCCAGCCTTCCCAGCAATCTGTGGCAAGTTATAAACTCCAAAGGGCTTGAGTAGCTCCACCCCTGTGGCATTTCTGGTGGTTGTAGCTCCCATGGCTTCCTTCTTGCACCGGCTCTGCTCCCTCCCTGCAGTTTTCCTCAGAAGATCTATGCTTCTGGTTTCTCCAACCTTTGAGGTCTGTACTGCATGTTTGGCTTCACACTCATAGCTTCGCACACTGCCCTCTCAGGGGCACTGCCTGGCCTCCCAGGCTGCCTTCTGAAATCTGCGTGGAATCCTTCCTAACCCCACAACTTTTGCATTCTGCATGTTCCTAAAACCAGCACCACATGGATGATGCCATGGTTTGCTGCCAGCTGTAGCTGAAGCTAGGCTTCCTTGTCTCTTAGCTCTAAGAGTCCAGTACCAATGGACCAGATCCCAAGGAACAACTTCCCTAAGCTGCCATTTTGGAACCACTTCCCTAGGCTGCTGCCATTTTGGAACATGGTGCTCTGGGGATCTCTTCTGAAAGCAAAGTACCTCATTTTTGCAATTTTGAGGCTGCAAAGGCTGGAGTCCTGCTGTTACTTGTGATGTCTTCAGGCCATATTTTCCATTCTCCTGTCCCTTCTCAGCAGTCATCATCTCCTCGCTATATCTTTGCAGTCCACAGCTTTACTGGAGCTTCCTTTCTTGCCAAACTCAAAACATTTTAAATCATTCTGCTGGGCTTTTTCTCTTGATTCTCAACATAGATCCAGCTAAAAGCCCCCAACAGCAGCCATGCCACGGCCTCAACATTAGCCTGCCTTGAAATTTCTTCTGTGAGATTAGTTAGTCCATCACCCTTAATCTCAGTCTCAGGCAAAGTCTCTGGACATGAGTAAAATGTAGACAAATTTTCTGCCAACCCATAACACACATCTTCTGGAGTCCAACAGCCAATACAGTCCTTTTTCCCAGCAGAAACTTCCTGAGCCTGGTCTTTACTAGCCTTCTGGTCTTCTTCTTCTTCTTCAATGGGGACCAAACTCCAGACATTGTGCTTGCGAGGCAGATGGTGGAACCAAGCTAAAATCTCTGGCCCCAGCCTTCTGGTCTTCTAAGCACTAAGAATTTCCCATACAGAACAACCTGAAGTGTTCCAGCTCTGGTTCTACAGCCAGCATGTCCAAACTTTTGCTAACTATCCCTTCCCACAAGTCAGTTATAAAGGCTCTTGAGCCACATGGCCAGGTAATGTCACAGCAAAAACCCCACTCTTTATTTGGCTTACACTTTGTAGAGGTTTCAGTCCATATTTGGCTGGCTCCAAGAAAGGGTGATGTGGCAGTTAGGCCTTCCAGAGGAAGAAATAGTTCATGGTGCCCACACAGCAAAAGCAACAAAGGATCTCTGTTGTTTTTTGAGACAAGGTCTAGCTATGTAATTCAGGCTGGCCTTGAACTCACTGTGTAGTCTAGGCTGGGCTCAAATTTGCCTTCTGCCTCAGTCTCCCAAGTGCTATAATTACAAGTGTAATTACATACCCAGCCTTTATTTTTTATTTTGAGACAGATTCTCCCTAAGTCATTAAGTTACCTAGGCTGGGCTCAAATTTGAGATCCTCTTGCCTCAGCCTGCCAGATTGCTAAAATTACAGGTGTGCCCTATCAGACTCAACTTCATTCTTTGAATATTATCTTTTTACGCATAGAAGTTTTTATTTTTTAATTTTCTGGTGCTAATTGAACCCAGGGTTTTACACATGCTAAGCATGAGCTCTGCCACTGAGCCCAGCCCAGAGTCCAGAAGCTTTTAGGATTAGTTTAGGGTTTTAATCCTGATCAAATCTAGTTTATCTGTCTTTTTCTTTTTTGTTTCTTGTGCTTTTGATATCACATCTAGGAAACCACTGCCAAATCCAAGGTTGTGAGGATCCATATCTTGTTTTTTTCTAAACCTGTTATGGTTTGTTTGTTTCTTTTGAGATAGGGTCTTACTCTTATGGAGATCCTCCTGCCTCAGCCTCCCACTACACTCATGTTTAGATCTTTGGCAAAGTTTGAATTATTTTTTTTTTCTTTTTTTTGGCACTGGGGATCGAACTCTGGACCTTGTGCTTTCAAGGCAGGTACGGTGCCACTGAGTTAAATCCCCAGCCCTGAATTAATTTTTATATATAGGGTAGTGAGGATCTATTGTACTAAAATTTGTTGAAGAGACACTTCTTTCTCCTTTGGTTTCAGCAACCTTATCAAGAATAAACTGCAGGCTGGGATGTAGTTCAGCAGCACCCACACCTGCCTGGCAAGCACAAGGTCCTGAGTTCAATTCTTGTTACCAAAAAAAAAGGATAAATTGCTGCTAGGTATATGGGTTGATTCCTGGACTCTTGGTTCTGTTACATTGAACTGTCTCCATTGCCAGGAAGCATGAGGCTGTTCCATTTGACAGAGAGGGACACTGGGGACTTGTGCTTCAGGGTGATGCCCAGGTGGAGGACAGGACACAGCTGACCCTGGGAGAAGAGCCCTCACAAGGACTCTGGGGCTTACTCCCACTTGGTGCCCTCTGGCCACCCCTTCCCTTTGTAGTGGTTGGATCGCAGCCCTGTCTACAATCAAGCATGAGTCCTTGGCCGTGTCGATCATCATGATGGTGGTAGCTGGCTTTTTCTCCCTCTGTGCTGGGCTGTCACTGTTCCTCTTGCAGCGGGTGAGTAGAATTGGGCCTCAATTCTGCCTGGCCTCCCTGCTCCAGAGGCCCTGTGCCTTTGTCCAAGGCTGGGTGGACATGTGGGGTCAGTTCCTGGGGGTCCCCTGGGGGTGTGACCTGGGTGGCCAGATTCTAGTGCTCCTTATCCATCTCTTTCCCCAGGTGCACTCTTTCTACCGCCGGACAGGAGCCAGCTTCCAGCAGGCCCAGGAAGAGTTTTCCCAGGGTATCTTCAGCAGCAGGACCTTCCGCAGTGCTGCCTCCTCTGCTGCCCAGGGAGCCTTCCAGGGAAATTAGCCTGGCTCCGGCCTCTGTCCAGCCTGTTCTGCACCTGCCTTGAGCTGCACTTTCTGTGGTGCCTTATGCAGTGGGGATGCCCAGCACAGACCTGACGGGTCCTGTCGTGGCTCTTCCTCCTTCCACAGCGACCAGCTGTCCCTTCCACCGAGGGAAGGGGAGGGAGGGACAGGGACTTTTTTTACACATGACAAAAGAAAAATAACAAAGCTGTCTTTCGTTGTCTGGTGGTGGTTTGGTAGGATCCTTTTATCGCTGGAAGCAGTGAGCCAGAAGCTGCCTTCCTCATACATACATGCATGCGCGCGCGCACACCCACCATCGAATGCATGCAGGCATGGAAACATGGTCTAGCCTGGGCCCACCACAGCTGGAGTTCCTGTGCACATCCCAGGACCGCACCAAGCCTGTGGCCTTCATGGTCCCACTCTTCTGCCAAAACTGGGCTAAGCTTTCCAAGGGCCCCCTTTTGGTGAGCTGCAGTTGGAATGGGAGGGTGGGTAGCTCTGATCCCCAAATTGCTCTAGGGTGGTCTCTGGGCTCCTCTGGCCTGGCCATCCCAGTGTCATGTTCCTCACAAGTAGGTTCATGGCCCTCAAGGCCCTGGGCACCCTCTTGGTGTTGGTAGAACCTGTGCCCTCTGGGGCCCTTGCTCAGCCTTGTTTTTCTTTTTCTTTTGGTACCAGGGATTGAACTCCAGTCCTTGGACTTGTGAGGCAGGGAGCAGAACCATTGAGCTAAATCCTCAGCCCCCTTCTGACTTTCTGAATGTCCAGTGGCTGGGATTTAGGGATAGAAGACACTGATCCCAGTTGCCCAGTGGCTAGGAGGAGGGACTGGCTGTGTGTTTTGCTTGGCCTGTTTATTTCCACTTCCTTACCTGAGGGACAGCTACCATTGTCTTAGCTGTACTCCTGCCCCTGTCTCCCGTGGCCCTTCAGCAATATCCAGCTTGTGACACTGGGGGCACAGAAGCTTCCTTCCAAAGGTTCCAGATTACTCTCCAGGTCCTCCCTCACCTGGAGCAGAGTCTAAGACACCCACCTGCCCTGGCAGTTCTTTAACAGGTGTGTGATTATGATGGCATGCCTGGAGTCCACCTTCCCAAACTTTATGGGTGGAGGTGGGCTGTGGGACACCTCACCATGCTGGCCAGTCTGCTTCAACTCAGGCCTGATGCTACCAAGTGAAAATGACAGCCACCAGGGGTTTGTAAATTGCGTGCTCGTATTTTTTTCCCTTCATGTACAAATGTATATGCTATGACACACACCCCCTTTTGCTTAAATAAAAGTGACATTTTCAGCCGTGGTCCTGATGTCTGGTGGATGGAGGACAGGGAGTGCAGTCAGATGGATGCCCAGGGACTCCTAGGATAGGTGAGGAAGACAACCGAGATGCCCCCTGGCTGGTCAGTGAGGAGGTCAAGTTTCAACAAGGGCATGAACCCCTTCAGACCGGTGACAAGAGGGAGGCAAAGGGCCTCTTCCAGAAGCATTTTCTTGTCTCATACTTTACTTTCAGAGAGCCTGGTATTGAGGGCCTACCACCCGCACTTGCTCCCCTGGATCCCCGGCCGTGCCGCTTGGCACGTGGTCGACCCCAGCCAACCGGAGCAGGAGTTCTGGGTGACCACGTCTGCCACCCTCTGTGAGCGCTAGGGTCACAAACTGGCCTTTCTAGTGGTGGGGGGTGGAGGCGGGGCGAGGGCGGGGGCTGCAGTAGGTCCTGGGGCGGAGTCTCCGGGCACT